CCCCAAAACCCCAAAACCCCAAAACCCCAAAACCCCTTGTCAATCAGAATTGGTTGATAAATACCAGATTTTTATTAATTATTAGGATGAAAATACTTAACTAGACTGTTTTAATAAAGCTAATAATTTCCTCTTCATCGCCAATGTGAAGAACTGCTCTTCTGCAAGGTCCCTGACCTTCTCAAGGTACGTCTCTAGGTCAATGGTCTTCTTCCTGAAGAGGGTCTTGACTACATCAATAGTCTCCTCGATAGATTGCTCTTTAGACACGATCTCGAGGAGGGAATCTGAGATACCATCTTTTGTAGCGAAGATAAATTCGTCAATATTAGTCTATATCGGAAATGAATAGGGATAAATTACCTCTGATACATCTTTTTCCTTGTTATTTTCAATAAAATCTTTCATTTTCTTGACTCGGACTTCCATATCTGCTATCTCAGATTCGAGAAGGAAGGACTGCTTCTTTAGTTTTTCAGAGTTGTCTTCGAGGTACCTTTTAGAGGCCTTGAAGCAGTCAGCTCCTCCTTGATCGAAGGTCAGTTTGGAGTACTTAAGAGCTTTGTGTTTGACTTTATATCTTTCTTTGACGTTCTTGAGCAGTTCTTGTCGTTCTTCTTCCTTTATTTGGAGTATCTGTGCCTCTTCAGAGAGAAATGGGGCGGATCCTGGTTTCTGAGGAGCTGTTTCCTCAGGAATATGTTGAGGAGTCTCAATTTTGGTATATTGTTTTTGAATCACATTTTGAGGTTTTGGTCGAGAATCGTCATTGTGAATATATATGACATCCTGCTCTAGTACTCCATACCCGGCTTTTCCCAGAGGAGGATGCATGGAAAATAGTTTAGAGAGGTTGTGAATGAGACCACCAAGATTATACTGGGTATCATTTCCCTTCCATTCTTGTAAATATTTACAAATTATTTGATTTCCATACTTTACAAGAGGATTTGTGGAAGCAGAAGCTTCATCTAGGGCATAACCAATATTAACCTTGGGACCATTGAAGGGAAAGTTTTCCGGGATTATAATATTGATTGGGATTTGATAATCTGCACCATGGTATATTATAGGAACTCCTCCACTCACTCAAAGGAGTTTTGTTATCGGACTTTTTCCGAACTGCACATCTTTCCTAGTGACTGTAAAGCTAGTGAATTGCTTCAGGAATACAAGAACATGCTGGACAACTGTGTCTTTGTATAAGCCGTAACTTCAGCTTTTTCAGCAAGCTTCCAAGTGGTAGAAAGTTGGATCGTATTTAGCGTGATATTTAGCCATTTTTAATTTATCAACTATTTTCTTCAAATATGGGGTTTTGGGGTTTTGGGGTTTTGGGGTTTTGGGGTTTTGGGG